TAGAACTGAACTAGAACTGAACTAGAACTGAACTAGAACTGAACTAGAACTGAACTAGAACTGAACTAGAACTGACTAGAACTGAACTAGAACTGAACTAGAACTGAACTAGAACTGAACTAGAACTGAACTAGAACTGAACTAGAACTGAACTAGAACTGAACTAGAACTGAACTAGAACTGAACTAGAACTGAACTAGAACTGAACTAGAACTGAACTAGAACTGAACTAGAACTGAACTAGAACTGAACTAGAACTGAACTAGAACTGAACTAGAACTGAACTAGAACTGAACTAGAACTGAACTAGAACTGAACTAGAACTGAACTAGAACTGAACTAGAACTGAACTAGAACTGAACTAGAACTGAACTAGAACTAAACTAGAACTGAACTAGAACTGAACAAGAACTGAACTAGAACTAAACTAGAACTGAACTAGAACTGAACTAGAACTGAGCTAGAACTGAACTAGAACTGAACTAGAACTGAACTAGACTGAACTAAAACTGAACTGGAACTGAACTAGAACTGAACTAGAACTGAACTAGAACTGAACTAGAACTGAACTAGAACTGAACTGAACTAGAACTGAACTAGAACTGGACTAGAACTGAACTAGAACTGAACTAGAACTAGAACTGAACTAGAACTGAACTAGAACTGAACTGAACTGAACTAGAACTAGAACTGAACTAGAACTGAACTAGAACTGAACTAGAACTGAACTAGAACTGAACTAGAACTGAACTAGAAACTGAACTAGAACTGAACTAGAACTGAACTAGAACTGAACTAGAACTGAACTAGAACTGAACTAGAACTGAACTAGAACTGAACTAGAACTGAACTAGAACTGAACTAGAACTGAACTAGAACTGAACTAGAACTGAACTAGAACTGAACTAGAACTGAACTAGAACTGAACTAGAACTGAACTAGAACTGAACTAGAACTGACTAGAACTGAACTAGAACTGAACTAGAACTGAACTAGACTGAACTAGAACTGAACTAGAACTGAACTAGAACTGAACAAGAACTGAACTAGAACTGAACTAGAACTGAATTAGAATTGAACTGGAACTGAACTAGAACTGAACTAGAACTGAACTGGAACTGAACTAGAACTCAACTAGAACTGAACTAGAACTGATTTTTTCTAATTTAATTGCTTCGTAAAGATTTTTATTTATTTCAGTGTATTTTTGTCGTTGCGTACAATAATTAATACGCGAAAATGTGACATAAAAACGCTTTAGGGTAATAAATTTCTTTTAAAAATTTTTTTATTGGTTACTTTTATCCACATTGAATTTATAATCATTTTGTATACTTTATATGTGAGTGATACAAAAGCGTTCAAAACTACTGTTGTAAAGGGACCACATTGATTACAAGAAAGTGACACTGAGCAAATGAAAACTAGAAACCGATTATTGATGGATGGTTTGTATGTAAAATTTAGGTGAACACATATTTTCGTATTTTTTTCATTAAACCATTTAAAAACACTCTTTTTGAAAATATATTTTCATACACTTTTTTCTTTCAGTGTAATTTCTTGTACATTTGTGCGTAAGCATGCACTTTGTCATCTGTCTTTTTTAGCATTTTTATATGGATTTGATTTTGTCTTTCTTTTTTCGCCTGTTGCAACCTTCAATTTTTCTTCACCTCAAAAACATGGATGGTGGTAGCTTGGTGGTACCTGTTGCTGTTAATTCTCTGGGTGTGTACATTTAAAATTTCAACCGAGAACAGTTTACAATTCAATGAAATCAACTCAGACTGTGCCTGCATCTGAAGAGGTATTGCTGGTTTTTTCTTATTTCTTGTTGATTTTCTATACGTTCGTTGCACCTACGCCCACAGTATTTGACACTGTCGTAGTTTTGAACGCCTGTATAAAGTTTTTATATTTATTAAAGGGTATATCGAGTTTATCTTTCCATTTGTAACATAGGGATTAAGATATACCTCTTAATTATAAGGTAGAGTCGTCGGTGATTTCAGAAATACAGAGAATTAACTAAAGTTTTAACTATAGTCTGAACTTCAGTCTACAGTCTGGACTATAATCTAGACTAAAGTCTAGACTATGGTGTGGACGATAGTGTGGACTATAGTGTAGACTATAGAGTGCACTATAGTCTGGACTATAGTCTGGACTATAGACTGGACTATAATATGGATCAAAGTCTGAAGTGCAGTGTGTATTATAGTCTGGAATATCGTCAGGACTGAAAAGTTTTGACAATAGTCTGGACTACAATCTACAGTCTGGACTATCATCTAGACTAAAGTCTAGACTGTGGAGTGGACTATAGTGTGTACTATAGACTGGGTTATTGGCTGGACTATCGACTGGACTATAATCTGGATCAAAGTCTGATATAAAGTGTGTATTATAGTCTGGACTATTGTCTGAACTGAAAAGTCTTGACTTCACTGTACAATCTGATCTATAATCTAGACTAAAGTCTAGACTATGGTGTGGACTATAGTATGGACTATAAATTGGACTATTGATTAAATTAGAAACTGGACTATAGACTGGTATATATACTAACTATAGTCTGGACTATGGTCTGCACTACATTGTATATAATATAGTGTGAACTATGGACTAGACTACACTCTGGACTATAGTGTGGACTGTAGACTGGACTGCTACTAGCGTAGGATGTATACTGGACTATGTACTATTCTATAATATTGAATATAGTCTGGACTGTATAATGTATTATAGTCTTATCTATAGTCTGGAATATAGCCTGTATTGAAATCTGATCTACAGTTTATACAATTGTCAGAACTTTAATATGGTCTACAGTCTGGACTGTTGTCTAAACTATAGTCTTAACAACAGTCTGTAATTTTTTATTTTAAATCTGATACAGTGCATCTACAATTCGTCTATGTTCCTTTAAATCACTTTGACTTTATGTTTCTTTTTATTAAAAAAAAAATCAAGAAAAAACTAAATTTATACAAACAAAACTGGTGAAATTGAATTTCATTTACCAAAAAAATATCATACATACACCCATAATATAAGATGGGCTTAATACACATTTTTTTGTAGCAACATATAATTATTTACATTCAGCAAAATTTAAGGAATTTTCGGTTTGTGTAAGTGTGTACAATTTATAATAATTAATATACATTGAAAGGATTTTTTTTTTGGTAAAGAAAATTGAGTGATTCTTTATTCATGAGCTTAAGCTTAAAACATTTATTTTATTTGTTCATAGTATGTTGCATTTTTTCTTATTTTAGGGTTATACGGGGCGTTTTTCTGTTGACGTATATATAAACATTTCATTTTTCAAGTAACTGGGCTTGTATGTCTTTTGCAGCAGACTTTTAAGGAGTGAATTTACTTGCAAGCATTTTGCTATATCTTTGTCAAAGTTAACATCCAGCAACTGTAAATCAAAAGTTTACACTTTACATTTAATTTCTTGAAATTATTTTATACACATTTTAATCTTCTACACAACTTTTTAAGGAATATGGCTAGAAAGAGAGAAAGCACTTACTTGTATGTTTATACGATTTTGTAAGGTATGACCTAAATTTATGTATTTTATGACAGGATAACTGTACAGCAACTTATAATGAATTCATTAAAATAAATAAATATTGCTCAAGTGAAAAAAAAATGAAATTAACTAAAGAATAAACCTTAATTATGGGTTTTGATAAAATTAAGAAATTTATTATTAATTTGATACACAATTAAATTTCCTGACATGACTGCTGGAGTAAGCCTAACATCACTATAGTAGTAAGTTGATGTTTTTAGCGTGAATATTGGTGTTACATCTATTGGGTTTATAAGTTAAAAATGCGGCATTTTTAACTTTTCTTTTGAATTAATTATACCATATAAATTTATTCAAATTATTTTCGGCGAACATGTGGATTTTGGTTCAGAAGAATTCTTATCTCCTGAGACCAAAGAACGAATCAAGATAAATCCAGATAGCCTGTGTATCCAAAAGCGAGCTTTCCAAATCAATTGCATAAAATAGTAGTAGTAGTAGTTTTTGAAATGGGTAATGCAACGTGTGGCTTCTATATATGGATATTACTCGGTCAATTATAGACTCTGACGTGCATGCGATTTCAGCAGTCAATGATATAAAGGTAAGCTAGGTTAGTTAGTTAGTTAGTTAGTTAGTAGTTAGTTAGTTAGTTAGTTAGTAGTTAGTTAGTTAGTTAGTTAGTTAGTTAGTTAGTTAGTTGTAGTTAGTTAGTTAGTTAGTTAGTTAGTTAGTTAGTTAGTTAGTTAGTTAGTTAGTTAGTAGTTAGTTAGTTAGTTAGTTAGTAGTTAGTTGTTAGTTAGTTAGTTAGTTAGTTCGTTAGTTCAGTTAGTTAGTTAGTTAGTTAGTTAGTAGTTAGTTAGTTATTGTTTTCGTTAGTTAGTTAGTTTTTGTTAGTTAGTTTTTTTTTAGTTAGTCTTAGTTAGTTAGTTCTTTCTTTTCGTTAGTTCGTTAGTTCGTTTTAGTTAGTTTAGTTCGTTTCGTTAGTTTTCGTTTCGTTAGTTAGTTCGTTCGTTAGTTCGTTCGTTAGTTAGTTCGTTAGTTCGTTTTATTTTCGTTAGTTTCGTTTTTTCGTTCGTTCGTTAGTTCGTTCGTTCGTTTTCGTTCGTTTTCGTTCGTTCGTTCGTTCGTTCGTTCGTTAGTTCGTTTTCGTTCGTTATTCGTTCGTTCGTTCGTTCGTTCGTTCGTTCGTTCGTTCGTTCGTTCGTTCGTTTCGTTTCGTTCGTTTCGTTCGTTCGTTCGTTTCGTTCGTTTGTTCGTTTCGTTGTTCGTTCGTTCGTTGTTGTTCGTTCGTTCGTTCGTTCGTTCGTTCGTTCGTTCGTTCTTCGTTTCGTTCGTTCGTTTGTTCGTTCGTTCGTTCGTTAGTTAGTTGTAGTTAGTTAGTTACTTTGCTTAGAGTTGGCTTGAAGAGAACAGTCTTGGTCAGTCCAAATACATAGTATTATTTTAGTAAATATTTTTTTAATTCATTAAAAATCCCAATTGGAAATATTAAACATTTCGTATCATTAATACATGACTTTATGAGAATAAGTTAATCCATTGAAACCTCTCCAGAGAATACCATTACGAGACGATTCACCATGTAAATAATGACCTGTAGGTTGGCTAAAATAAAAATATAGAATTATTATTTAATAAACAAATAAATACCGGATCACAATTTAAACTGTATAACTTACACAAATGAACAATAATTATACCACCAACCGACTTGACGTTGAATAGCACAACTACCCGTTGGCCAGTTATCATTATCCTTATCAATTGTACTGAATTTTAAGCCAACATTATAGGACATATCTTCTCCAGCAGTTCCATCATAATTTCCTAACGACTTCAGTTCATATTGATCGCTAGAACTTCCCACTACAAAATTATCGTAATGAGCAAATCTGGACTCTCCTTCGAAATTTTCAATGTAAACATATAATTGCTGGCGACCATTGTAGTTGGTAAGAGTATGTAAATTCTCTAAACCTAACCAGTATTCACCCTCCACGTGACCAAATCCCTTAACGTAATCTAACCAGGGGCGTGTAAAATTTTCCGAACCATCGTGACGGCGTAATATGTGCAACCAATCACCGCCGTTGGTCTTTGTATCACAAAAGACCATTATTTGTTTAGACTTATTGCCCGGTAAAGTTAGATTGTAATAACCACTTTTTTGCGTACATCTAGTAGCGGTTTTACAGTCAACTGGTTTAGGATCTGAATAACAGTAGTGTTTAAATTTTGGCAATTTATCAATACGTACATCGAATAAGGGCTTATTTTCGAAAATTTTAACTGCTTTCTGATCGCCTAATATCTCTGTCATTCTGAAGATTAAGAAATTTATTTCAAATATTTTTGTAGATTTAAAAAAAAACTACTTACTGCATTTTTAATGCACTCACTTCGAGTTTCAACTCTTCAGTGTTTTGTTTGGAAATTTCATAATTTTTTAAAATGTCCAAATACTTTGATTCCAACTCAGCATTCTTCTGTTTTAGACTAAAACAATAGATTTTCTATAAGTTAAAAAATATCTGGATTTTCAGAACCTAGATAGATCTAGATAATCGGTGGAGAGTAATTAATATGTGAAAAAATCACTTTGCCTGTATCTGATCTAGACCCACACTCTACTCTACTTGTACAGCTCTCCTTTTAACTTACCTTTCCTCCGAGTTTTTTACTCTATTTACTTCAACTAATAAAGTCGAATACTTTTCATTCAGATTGGATATTTCCAAAGTTTCTTTCATAGACCCCTCCTCTGTGGGTCTTATTTTATCACTAGAAATGTTATTGTTTATCTTTTGTATAAGAAATGTATATCTATATTTTAATTTATCTTACTTAGCTGAGATAGTATCTAAACGTTGTGCTAAATGGTCCAACGATTTATGAGTAATACGAAAATTTTCAAAAACCTGAGAAAATCTGTTGTCGATAAGATCGTAGTAATTGCTATTAGGATTTCTGAAAAGAGAAACGATTTTCATTTATTGAACTTAATTTATTAACATAAACGTGATTCAACGGGACCTTCAAACAAATTACCGACAAAGAACCATTAACGTTTAGTTTATTAAAATTTCTTTGTTTATTTATTCTTATCTTTCTTTTCTATTAAACATTCCAAATATTTGTCTATACCAAAATTTTAAATCACAACTATTAAATGGTCCTCAATTTATCAATACTTTATACACTTTTAACCCTTTTCATCACACTCACTTTTCATTCAGAGCATCCATGCGTAGTTTTAGTATATCAATTGATTTTTTAACACTTTCGATTTGAACAAAAAAATTCAAATACATTTCTTCTATATCGCGTAGTTCACAGTTCTGAAAATATTTATGTTCACGGAAATTTAAAATATTAATTTGTATTTTGAGTATATCCTTACAACACATATTACAGTAGTGGCAATTACTATTAAATAGTATTTTAAATGCATTTTTTGTTTGAACTTGTTGAGGGGGATTTTTAAACTAAAAGGTTTTATTTTTATATTTTGATTCAGAATTGTACTCGTTATGAAGATGATAACAATTATGAGTAAGATGAGAGCGAATCACAAACAAGTAGAAAAGTATAGTCGGGCATGGTTCACCATATGATGCCCTACACAAGTCATGAGAATATTAAAAAATATGACTTTTTTAAAAAGCTTTTATTGATATCGAAATTTAATTTGTATTTAAGGAAATTACTGCCGGAAAAAACAGTTTTTCTTAAATAGACTAAATCCCAGAGAGACTACTGTCCAGAATATATAGTATAATATAGGCCAAACTATAGCCCAGACTATAACCAAGATTAAATTAAATTATAGTACAGACTATAAGTACACAAGTATAATTCAGATATATAATCTATTGTCAAGTCTATAGTCTGAAATATAATCAAGATTATAGTGTGCACTATAGCCTTGTCTTAGTCTATATATAGTGTAACATATAATCTTGAATTTAGTCTACGCTATTATCTGGACTAGTCTAGTATATTATCTCGACCATAGAACACTATAGACTAGACTATAGACTGTAGACTAGACTGCACTATAGACTAGACTATAGACTAGACTATAGACTAGACTATAGACTAGACTATAGACTAGACTATAGACTAGACTATAGACTAGACTATAGACTAGACTATAGACTAGACTATAGACTAGACTATAGACTAGACTATAGACTAGACTATAGACTAGACTATAGACTAGACTATAGACTAGACTATAGACTAGACTATAGACTAGACTATAGACTAGACTATAGACTAGACTACTATAGACTAGACTATAGACTAGACATAGACTAGACTATAGACTAGACTATAGACTAGACTATAGACTAGACTATAGACTAGACTATAGACTAGACTATAGACTAGACTATAGACTAGACTATAGACTAGACTATAGACTAGAACTAGACTATAGACTAGACTATAGACTAGACTATAGACTAGACTATAGACTAGACTATAGACTAGACTATAGACTAGACTATAGACTAGACTAGACTAGACTATAGACTAGACTATAGACTAGACTATAGACTAGACTATAGACTAGACTATAGACTAGACTATAGACTAGACTATAGACTAGACTATAGACTAGACTATAGACTACTATAGACTAGACTATAGACTAGACTATAGACTAGACTATAGCTAGACTATAGACTAGACTATAGACTACTATAGAAGTATACTCTAAGTCTACTCTATAGTGTAGTCTATAGTCTAGACTATAGAATATAGTCTAGTCTATAGTCTAGACTATAGAATATAGTCTAGAATATAGACTAGACTATAGACTAGACTATAGACTAGACTATAGACTAGACTATAGACTAGACTATAGACTAGACTATAGACTAGACTATAGACTAGACTATAGACTAGACTATAGACTAGACTATAGACTAGACTATAGACTAGACTATAGACTAGACTATAGACTAGACTATAGACTAGACTATAGACTAGACTATAGACTAGACTATAGACTAGACTATAGACTAGACTATAGACTAGACTATAGACTAGACTATAGACTAGACTATAGACTAGACTATAGACTAGACTATAGACTAGACTATAGACTAGACTATAGACTAGACTATAGACTAGACTATAGACTAGACTATAGACTAGACTATAGACTAGACTATAGACTAGACTATAGACTAGACTATAGACTAGACTATAGACTAGACTATAGACTAGACTATAGACTAGACTATAGACTAGACTATAGACTAGACTATAGACTAGACTATAGACTAGACTATAGACTAGACTATAGACTAGACTATAGACTAGACTATAGACTAGACTATAGACTAGACTATAGACTAGACTATAGACTAGACTATAGACTAGACTATAGACTAGACTATAGACTAGACTATAGACTAGACTATAGACTAGACTATAGACTAGACTATAGACTAGACTATAGACTAGACTATAGACTATACTATAGACTATACTATAGACTATACTATAGACTATACTATAGACTATACTATAGACTATACTATAGACTATACTATAGACTATACTATAGACTATACTATAGACTAGACTATAGACTAGACTATAGACTAGACTATAGACTAGACTATAGACTAGACTATAGACTAGACTATAGACTAGACTATAGACTAGACTATAGACTAGACTATAGACTAGACTATAGACTAGACTATAGACTAGACTATAGACTAGATTATAGACTAGACTATAGACTAGACTAGACTATAGACTAGACTATAGACTAGACTATAGACTAGACTATAGACTAGACTATAGACTAGACTATAGACTAGGACTATAGACTAGACTATAGACTAGACTATAGACTAGACTATAGACTAGACTATAGACTAGACTATAGACTAGACTATAGACTAGACTATAGACTAGACTATAGACTAGACTATAGACTCGACTATAGACTAGACTATAGACTAGACTATAGACTAGACTATAGACTCGACTATAGACTAGACTATATATATGTATATAGTATAGTCTATATATAGACTATATAGACTAGTCTATAGTCTAGACTAGACTATAGATTAGACTGCAGTCTATAGTCTAGACTATAGACTAGACTATATTCTATAGTCTAGACTATAGACTAGACTATATTCTATAGTCTAGACTATAGACTAGACTATATTCTATAGTCTAGACTATAGACTAGACTATAGACTACACTATAGAGTAGACTTTAGAATATACTACTTTCCAGACATCAGACTAGACTATAGTCCAGACATCAGACTAGAAAATAGTCTAGTATTAGTCTATAGTAGTAGTCTATATATTAGTACTTCCAGCAGCATAATAGTTTTAAATGAATTGACATTGCCCCTGCTATTCTATGGTGAGATTAAAAAAGCGAAAATAATGACCCCCTCTAGGTGATAATATATATTAAAAGCACTTAAATTGAAAACACAATCTGTGGTGAATTTGATAACTTTGAAGAGAGTAAAAAAATATGTATATTAAAAGAGATGATATGAATAAAAACAAACTGATAAGTAGAGAATCATTAATAAACCATAATAAAAGCAATTGTATAAAAAAATACTATATAAACAGAGATGCTAAAGAATGAATTCATTATATGTATTGAAAAATTAATAAACTACTTAAAACGGTAATGAGTATAGTTTTTCTTTAACGATTAATGGAGAAATTTAAATTTTCTTATAGAAACAATTAAGGACAACTGGGCAAAACTGCATTACACTGATAGAAAATAATTTTTCATCGTTTTATGCAAATTAAATTGGTATTCGGAATTCCTTATCTTTTAGAAATGTATATACGTATAAATATAATTATAGAATGCATTCTTTTAATTTCAACCTGTTCAAAAAAAAAAAAAAAAAAAACACACGAGCAATCAAAACCATAGAGAATAGACAAAAATACAAGCCGACGCACACAAAATATTAAAAATGCTCAGACAACTCAACACCCAGTTGAGCGGCAACATTTGACAAGTGCAGAACTTTTTCTTTGGCTCCAGCAAAGAAACGAATTCATAAACTATTATCCACTAAAATGGCAACTTTGATCAGAAAATTGATTAGCACCAATAACGCTGCCAAGCCAGTAGCTCCCTACAAGTAAGTAACTAAATATGTATACTGTACTTTAAGAGTTAAACAAGGAGCATGATCATGATGATCATCCAATGTATGGAAATGAATGGCTACATTGTTGTTTTATGATTTGTAAAAATTATACTTTAAAACAAGAGTCATTTATTAGTAAACACATGTTTTATCTTGTCTCTTTTCATGGTGTTTTGTCATTATTCTTATTGCCTGGCTGCCTTGGTTGGATGACTATTCCATACACCAACTGTAACTCAACTCCAATTTGGTATCGTGCTCTTCTGTCTCTGTCCCCTTTCCTATCTATTGCATTGTCATGCATATTCGTTGTCTTACAATTGTAATGCTGTAAAGTCAAGCTGTTGTGGCAGATCGTACTGTTTATGTTTCTGGTTGTTTGGGTTTGGATAAGACAACCATGAAATTGGTGCCGGGTGGTGCTGTCGAACAAACTGAAATGGCCTTGAAAAATCTAGAAGCTGTACTTGTTGCTGCTGATTCCGGCATTGATAAGGTTATTAAGAATACCATCTTTTTGAAGGATCTTAATGATTTTGGTGCCGTTAATGAGGTGTACAAAAAGGGTAAGAGTTATTTTATATCATATTATATTTTCGTTACTTAATCAATGTTATTATTAATATTAGTTTTATTTCATTCTAATCTGTATTTAATCAATTTCTATTATTTCACTTTTTAATAACCTCTACATCGCTTATAGTATGTTATTTAATTTTCTTATCTTTTGGGTCATTATTATTGTACTATAGTTCGATTAAAAGGTGTTTATGTTATTTTATTTCTTATTTGTTTAAACAATAGCTAAGTTTATCAACAAAACACTTAAAAACGTCGCTCTATTTTAAACATTCGTTAAGATAATGTTAAATTTTTAAACTCACCTCTCGTTCCCCTTTTATTTTTACTCACTTTCCGTGTCTCTCTCTCTCTCTCTCTCTCTTTCTTTAGTATTCAACAAAGAATTCCCCGCCCGTAGCTGTTTCCAAGTTGCCCGTTTACCCATGGATGCTTTGGTTGAAATTGAATGTATTGCCTTAACTGGTGATGTTAAGACTGTCTCCTCCGAATGACTAGATAACTCGGGAAGCAAGACTTTCTCGAAATTGTAATTTGTTTTAATGTCTTTTTATAAAAATAAATAAAACTGGTCTTTTTATAAAATTTGAATAAACTATTTTATAATTTGCAAATTAGGTATGGAAAATTCAGTACTTTGGTAGATTTTTTCAGTACTTTTCGATCTCAGAAAATAACACAGTAGTCCCACCAAATTTTAGTACTTTTTCTAACTTATAAACTTTTGATTAATTATCCACATAAATGTTTATAGACCAGTAGTCCAAAGCTTAGGACATAATATAGTATGTCGTCTAGTCTATGGTATAGACTACATATAGTCTGGCCTATAGTCCAGTCTATAGTCTAGTAGTCTATAGTCAGTCTATAGTCAAGTCTATAGTCAAGTCTATAGTCTAGTCTATAGTCAAGTCTATAGTCTAGTCTATAGTCAAGTCTATAGTCTAGTCTATAGTCAAGTCTATAGTCTAGTCTATAGTCAGTCTATAGTCTAGTCTATAGTCTAGTCTATAGTCTAGTCTATAGTCTAGTCTATAGTCTAGTCTATAGTCTAGTCTATAGTCTAGTCTATAGTCTAGTCTATAGTCTAGTCTATAGTCTAGTCTATAGTCTAGTCTATAGTCTAGTCTATAGTCTTGTCTATAGTCTAGTCTATAGTCTAGTCTATAGTCTAGTCTATAGTCTAGTCTATAGTCTAGTCTATAGTCTAGTCTAGTAGTCTAGTCTATAGTCTAGCCTATAGTCTAGTCTATAGTCTAGTCTATAGTCTAGCCTATAGTCTAGTCTATAGTCTAGTCTATAGTCTAGTCTATAGTCTAGTCTATAGTCTAGTCTATAGTCTAGTCTATAGTCTAGTCTATAGTCTAGTCTATAGTCTAGTCTATAGACTAGTCTATAGTCTAGTCTATAGTCTAGTCTATAGTCAAGTCTATAGTCTAGTCTATAGGCTAGTCTATAGTCTAGTCTATAGTCTAGTCTATAGTCTAGTCTATAGTCTAGTCTATAGTCTAGTCTATAGTCTAGTCTATAGTCTAGTCTATAGTCTAGTCTATAGTCTAGTCTATAGTCTAGTCTATAGTCTAGTCTATAGTCTAGTCTATAGTCTAGTCTATAGTCTAGTCTATAGTCTAGTCTATAGTCTAGTCTATAGTCTAGTCTATAGTCTAGTCTATAGTCTAGTCTATAGTCTAGTCTATAGTCTAGTCTATAGTCTAGTCTATAGTCTAGTCTATAGTCTAGTCTATAGTCTAGTCTATAGTCTAGTCTATAGTCTAGTCTATAGTCTAGTCTATAGTCTTGTCTATAGTCTAGTCTATAGTCTAGTCTATAGTCTTGTCTATAGTCTAGTCTATAGTCTAGTCTATAGTCTAGTCTGTAGTCTAATCTATAGTCTAGTCTATAGTCTAGTCTATAGTCTAGTCTATAGTCTAGTCTATAGTCTAGTCTATAGTCTATAGTCTAGTCTAGTCTAGTCTATAGTCTAGTCTATAGTCTAGTCTATAGTCTAGTCTATAGTCTAGTCTATAGTCTAGTCTATAGTCTAGTCTATAGTCTAGTCTATAGTCTAGTCTATAGTCTAGTCTATAGTCTAGTCTATAGTCTAGTCTATAGTCTAGTCTATAGTCTAGTCTATAGTCTAGTCTATAGTCTAGTCTATAGTCTAGTCTATAGTCTAGTCTATAGTCTAGTCTATAGTCTAGTCTATAGTCTAGTCTATAGTCTAGTCTATAGTCTAGTCTATAGTCTAGTCTATAGTCTAGTCTATAGTCTAGTCTATAGTCTAGTCTATAGTCTAGTCTATAGTCTAGTCTATAGTCTAGTCTATAGTCTAGTCTATAGTCTAGTCTATAGTCTAGTCTATAGTCTAGTCTATAGTCTAGTCTATAGTCTAGTCTATAGTCTAGTCTATAGTCTAGTCTATAGTCTAGTCTATAGTCTAGTCTATAGTCTAGTCTATAGTCTAGTCTATAGTCTAGTCTATAGTCTAGTCTATAGTCTAGTCTATAGTCTAGTCTATAGTCTAGTCTATAGTCTAGTCTATAGTCTAGTCTATAGTCTAGTCTATAGTCTAGTCTACAGTCTAGTCTATAGTCTAGTCTACAGTCTAGTCTATAGTCTAGTCTACAGTCTAGTCTATAGTCTAGTCTATAGTCTAGTCTATAGTCTAGTCTATAGTCTAGTCTATAGTCTAGTCTATAGTCTAGTCTATAGTCTAGTCTATAGTCTAGTCTATAGTCTAGTCTATAGTCTAGTCTATAGTCTAGTCTATAGTCTAGTCTATAGTCTAGTCTATAGTCTAGTCTATAGTCTAGTCTATAGTCTAGTCTATAGTCTAGTCTATAGTCTAGTCTATAGTCTAGTCTATAGTCTAGTCATAGTCTAGTCTATAGTCTAGTCTATAGTCTAGTCTATAGTCTAGTCTATAGTCTAGTCTATAGTCTAGTCTATAGTCTAGTCTATAGTCTAGTCTATAGTCTAGTCTATAGTCTAGTCTATAGTCTAGTCTATAGTCTAGTCTATAGTCTAGTCTATAGTCTAGTCTATAGTCTAGTCTATAGTCTAGTCTATAGTCTAGTCTATATAGTCTAGTCTATAGTCTAGTCTATAGTCTAGTCTATAGTCTAGTCTATAGTCTAGTCTATAGTCTAGTCTATAGTCTAGTCTATAGTCTAGTCTATAGTCTAGTCTATAGTCTAGTCTATAGTCTAGTCTATAGTCTAGTCTATAGTCTAGTCTATAGTCTAGTCTATAGTCTAGTCTATAGTCTAGTCTATAGTCTAGTCTATAGTCTAGTCTATAGTCTAGTCTATAGTCTAGTCTATAGTCTAGTCTATAGTCTAGTCTATAGTCTAGTCTATAGTCTAGTCTATAGTCTAGTCTATAGTCTAGTCTATAGTCTAGTCTATAGTCTAGTCTATAGTCTAGTCTATAGTCTAGTCTATAGTCTAGTCTATAGTCTAGTCTATAGTCTAGTCTATAGTCTAGTCTATAGTCTAGTCTATAGTCTAGTCTATAGTCTAGTCTATAGTCTAGTCTATAGTCTAGTCTATAGTCTAGTCTATAGTCTAGTCTATAGTCTAGTCTATAGTCTAGTTTATAGTCTAGTCTATAGTCTAGTCTATAGTCTAGTCTAGTCTAGTCTATAGTCTATTCTATAGTCTATTCTATAGTCTATTCTATAGCCTAGTCTATAGTCTATTCTATAGTCTAGTCTATAGTCTAGTCTATAGTCTAGTCTACAGTCTATAGTCTAGTCTATAGTCTAGTCTATAGTCTAGTCTATAGTCTAGTCTATAATCTATTCTATAGTCTATTCTATAGTCTACTCTATAGTCTAGTCTATAGTCTAGTCTACAGTCTAGTCTATAGTCTAGTCTACAGTCTAGTATATAGTCTAGTCTACAGTCTAGTCTATAGTCTAGTCTATAGTCTAGTCTATAGTCTAGTCTATAGTCTAGTCTATAGTCTAGTCTATAGTCTACTCTATAGTCTAGTCTATAGTCTAGTCTATAGTCTAGTCTATAGTCTAGTCTATAGTCTAGTCTATAGTCTAGTCTATAGTCTAGTCTATAGTCTAGTCTATAGTCTAGTCTATAGTCTAGTCTATAGTCTAGTCTATAGTCTAGTCTATAGTCTAGTCTATAGTCTAGTCTATAGTCTAGTCTATAGTCTAGTCTATAGTCTAGTCTATAGTCTAGTCTATAGTCTAGTCTATAGTCTAGTCTATAGTCTAGTCTATAGTCTAGTCTATAGTCTAGTCTATAGTCTAGTCTATAGTCTAGTCTATAGTCTAGTCTATAGTCTAGTCTATAGTCTAGTCTATAGTCTAGTCTATAGTCTAGTCTATAGTCTAGTCTATAGTCTAGTCTATAGTCTAGTCTATAGTCTAGTCTATAATCTAGTCTATAGTCTAGTCTATAGTCTAGTCTATAGTCTAGTCTATAGTCTAGTCTATAGTCTAGTCTACAGTCTAGTCTATAGTCTAGTCTATAGTCTAGTCTATAGTCTAGTCTATAGTCTAGTATATAGTCTAGTCTATTGTCTAGTCTATAGTCTAGTCTATAGTCTAGTCTATAGTCTAGTCTATAGTCTAGTCTATAGTCTAGTCTATAGTCTAGTCTATAGTCTAGTCTATAGTCTAGTCTATAGTCTAGTCTATAGTCTAGTCTATAGTCTAGTCTATAGTCTAGTCTATAGTCTAGTCTATAGTCTAGTCTATAGTCTAGTCTATAGTCTAGTCTATAGTCTAGTCTATAGTCTAGTCTATAGTCTAGTCTATAGTCTAGTCTATAGTCTAGTCTATAGTCGTCTATAGTCTAGTCTATAGTTCTATAGTCTAGTCTATAGTCTAGTCTATATTCTAGTCTATAGTCTAGTCTATAGTCTAGTCTATAGTCCAGTCTATAGTCTAGTCTATAGTCTAGTCTATAGTCTAGTCTATAGTCTAGTCTATAGTCTAGTCTATAGTCTAGTCTATAGTCTAGTCTATAGTCTAGTCTATAGTCTAGTCAATAGTCTAGTCTATAGTCTAGTCTATAGTCTAGTCTATAGTCTAGTCTATAGTCTAGTCTATAGTCTAGTCTATAGTCTAGTCTACAGTCTAGTCTATAGTCTAGTCTATAGTCTAGTATATAGTATAGTCTATATTCTAGTATGTATTATAGTCTATAGTCTAGTCTATAGTCTTGTCTATAGTCTAGTCTATAGTCTAGTCTATAGTCTAGTCTATAGTCTAGTTTATAGTCTAGTTTATAGTCTATTCTATAGTCTGGTCTATAGTCTAGTCTATTCTATAGTCTGGTCTATAGTCTAGTCTAGTGTCTGGTATATAGTCTAGTCTATAGTCTAGTCTAGAGTTTCGTCTCTTGATTGTTTAAGTACGGAGTTCTCAATTATTGTTTCGTGTAAGATAAATCTTCTCAAAATATATTTGGCCGGTTTAATTTGTGACTTACTTTTTCATATCATTAAAGCTAAAGAATTTAATTTTATTTGTATTTGTATATTTCAATTATTTTTTCTATTTTATATGGTTATTTTATTTCAATCATATATAATTTACTTTTCGCATTAAAAAGACGTTACGTTAT